CTGCTACAGAGTTGGAATTAGCTAGTTCTCTAATGACTTCTAGTTGGTTTTAGTAGGAAAGACATTAGAGACCACCATCTAGGATCTAGCCATACTCAGTGCATTCAGAAAACATTGGTTCTGATCCATTTCAGTGTACAGGGCTAGAAAATACATGAAGTACTCTTTTNTCATCCACTGAAGTCACACAGTGCTTAATTCATCCAGTAACAAGTTCGCAGGTGTAAAATGATGCCTACTCAGGAACCCCACTGAAGACTCAATTTTTACAGGGAGATGGTCACACAGGTCCTCTCTGCCTGACACATACCAAACTTCTAGACTCTTAGAAAGAAATCAGGTGTTAGCATAAATCATACTGTTCGCACAATGAGCTATTCTGATCAGGGAATGGTAGAAACCCTCCCCAAATCCCAATCCCAATCCCCAGATGCCAGCCAACCTTGTAAGCAGGACTTTCACAGGATAGCAGTCTCAGGCCTGCTATATAATTTTTTGTAGCACCGTCTCATACCAGTCATAAATATTCTAGCAACCTTAGTTTGTCCGTTGGGAAGACCCTGAATTTAGTTAGCCTTCTTTTTTTTTTTAGTATGTGAGGGCTTAGTGCTGCACTGACAATGCTTCAGGTGATAGTTTCCTTATTATAAAATAAGAATAACTGAAATTCGTAGACATTAAATGATTATCTGGGGCGTAAGGCCTAATAATGGGAGAGAGCTGGGATTTAGATCCTTAAGTTTAGATCTCTTAATGCTCTACCATAGCCGCATAGGAGAAACAAGTAATCTGAGTAAAATTTGTCAGTCACATTTATTTTGAACATTGACAAGACAGAATATTTAGGCATGTATATTGGCTATATTTCACTCCCAGTCGTGTCCTTATTTCTTCGGCTCTGATCAAGTTTTTTTATAATTAAGAATGAATGAATTTTTCTCTTTCCTTCCCCAGGAAAATCTAATGTAATGGATGCACTCCGTNCACATTGCATTATGTCACATGATATCTGCTTGTTGTACTCTTAGTAATGCTAAAAATTGACCCCTGGATTAGGCTGGTGACAGTAATCTCTGTATTGTGTAGATTTTCTCCTTCTTTCTAACTAGAAAGTCCACTGTTACTTTGGTGTTATTCAAATGTTCTCTATTGACATTTACTTTATGGTTTTAATGCCAGTGAATAATCTTTGAATCAGCATTTCATTAAGGTTTACAAAATTAGATTTTCTAATTCTGTCATGCTTTGTACATTCAGTGGATGGTATTTCCCTGTAAAAGAAAAAAAGAGCTTCCCTTTAATAAATGGAGTTTTCTGATTAACCTAAAATAGAATTCACACTGGAAAAACATGATAAATACTTGCCCCTTTTCTTTTAATTAGTATCTTCAAACAAAAAAAGTTTTTAATAACTGCCCTAAATGGTG